TAACAAAATAGCATGACCCCGCTGTGATCTCGTCGAGACTTTAACCTGACTTGAAAAAGGAATCCATACCTTATAAGACTTATCAGATATGCGGGTCGTATGCATGCTTACAGGGAAAACGATGTTTGGACGGTGTTCATTTGCAAACAGTTGACATTTTTTTTCATTTAATTTATAGAAAATATGTTTTTACTAAGATGTTTCGTTGAAAATCTTTGTGCAATACTATATTTTATTGAGTGAAACTTTGCCTGCTGGACAAGTTAATCACGCTGAGGGAAGATGTTACAATGTAAATATCGGTTGTTTATATTTCGTTCACTCCACAACAACCTGGAAGTGAAAAATAAACATCACTAATATTCTTTCATAATTCCAGATCTAAGACCCATGTCGAATCCCGGCCTTGCCCCGTTACATTTTTACACTTTAATCACGGTTGCTGATTTTTTTTAATGCATCTTTCTATTTCTTTTCTCTTAAAACTTCTGTAAATTATGCTTTTCTTTTCAGAAATGGTTAATCAAAGTCAGAGTTATGCCGAAAAAAATGTCAATGCATAATTACAATTTTCGGCAGTAGTATGAAGATCCTTAAAGGATAAGTTGACGTCACACGTGCAAACAGATCGTACTATATAGATGCTCACAAGCAATCTGGGCTGAAACGATTTTGGCAATTCAAAATGTTTATTGTTCAGTTTTCGTCTTAGATGCATCTTAAATGGAGAGTAAATTGCTTTATAAATGTGTATTTATTATTTCCTGTGCCCATTCAAAATCAAATTTCTATGACGAAATTTTCACGACATCCTTGATCTCTGGTGTTCAGCATAAGATACGAGTAAAAGATAATATTTTACGAGACCGCCATGGAAAGCTGTGGTTACCATAAAAATGTAGAATGTAGAGTCTTTTGACGACCAAACAAAATACTGTTGAAGGGTTGTTTCATAATTTCTTCCTTTAACTCTTTCACCCCTATGTAACTTCAGTAGACTCTACCATGCAATGATATAGATGAGTCCATTATGGTCTACAGTGGTGAAAGGGTTAACTCGGCGCTTTTAAAATGACATAACATATTAGGCTCCACGTACCACTGCCAGAAACTGAAACTACGCACTGGATGGGAACTTATTTCTCCGGCGTGACTATAGCTTTGATAAATCATTTCTGAACAATAAAAGGGTGAACTAATAACATATCATCAACGACAATGCTTTGGGAGTAAAAATCAACGGTGCTAAACTGGGATTCGAACGCTGGTCCCCATATTGTTATACCATCGCTCTAACCAACTGGGCTACCAAGCATTGCCCAACTGCGCTACAGATATATACAAAAAACAGGAATGCAATGGGGCAGGTATCCTTAAATGAGATTTCTTTAGAATAATATATTTAGCAACACATTTCAGAAAGAAAAAAAATGTTAGCGATTCATTGACGCATAACACTGTGCCAGCCTAACGTGACACTTTTAACGTTTTCTGAATTTATTTTGAGTGCTCTTTTCAACGAAAACTAAGTATAGGCACGTTTAGCTAGAAATTATGCAATCCCAATTTTTTTGTTCACATTCACTTAACTGTTTTATCAAGTAGTAACATACATAGTTGTATGATGTACATGTGCAGACAAAAAACATATCGCATGATATGATGTTAAAGTGTTTTGTTAGACTGACTATCAGCCCCCAAGGTTTTATGAAGAATTTCTCAACTGCATTTTACTACTACATATAGCTTATATCTCCCCCTAGTTTAGAACTTAGATCAGACATCCAACTGATCAAAATTATTAGATTTTTTTTCTTCTAAATAATTCAATATCTTATTAATATTCTAGGGACGGGGGCCAGTCTAGTGTTTTTTCGTCACCACATCGTTTTTTCATTATTTCTTCTTTACTACGTCGAAAATCGTAAATCTGACATGTCTTGAAAAAGTTACTCTACTTCAGACACTTTAACACAATCCCTAAACACGTTGTTACTTTATTCACTGTAGGGCCCTAGGGAACAGTTACAGGGTCAAACACAAAGACAGAGAGACCGTCAGGGTCCATCTGTCCCCTAGAAGGAAATATAAATCCAATCCCTATAGCACTGTAACTTAACTGTGGATTAAATACAATCCCCAAACACGTTGTTAGTTTTTGGAAGACTAGATCACACTGACTTATCACATTGTTACTTCACTAGACTAAATACAATCCTTATAACACGTGTTACTTCACTAGACTAAATACAATCCTTATAACACGTGTTCCTTCACTAGACTAAATACAATCCTTATAACACGCGTTACTTCACTAGACTAAATACAATCCTTATAACACATGTTACTTCACTAGACTAAACACAATCCTTATAACACGTGTTCCTTCACTAGACTAAATACAATCCTTATAACACGTGTTCCTTCACTAGACTAAATACAACCCTTATAACACGTGTTACTTCACTAGACTAAATACATTCCTTATAACACGTGTTACTTCACTAGACTAAAGTCACTAAACACAATCCTTATAACACGTGTTACTTCACTAAACTAAATATAAACATAATAACACGTGTTACTTCACTAGACTAAATACAATCCTTATAACGCGTGTTACTTCACTAGACTAAATACAATCCTTATAACACGCGTTACTTCACTAGACTAAATACAATCCTTATAACACGTGTTCCTTCACTAGACTAAATACAATCCTTATAACACGCGTTACTTCACTAGACTAAATACAATCCTTATAACACGTGTTCCTTCACTAGACTAAATACAATCCTTATAACACGTGTTACTCCATTAGACTAAATACAATCCTTATAACACGTGTTACTCCATTAGACTAAATACAATCCTTATAACACGTGTTACTCCATTAGACTAAATACAATCCTTATAACACGTGTTACTTTATTAGACTAAATACAAGCCTTATAACGCGTGTTACTTCATTAGACTAAATACAATCCTTATAACACGTGTTACTTTATTAGACTAAATACAATCCTTATAACGCGTGTTACTTCATTAGACTAAATACAATCCTTATAACACGTGTTACTTCCCTAGACTAAATATAATCCTTATAACACGTGTTACTTCACTAGACTAAATACGATCCTTATAACACGTGTTACTTCACTAGACTTAATACAATCCTTATAACACGTGATACTTCATTAGACTAAATACAATCCTTATAACACGTGTTACTTTATTAGACTAAATACAATCCTTATAACGCGTGTTACTTCATTAGACTAAATACAACCCTTATAACACGTGTTACTTCACTAGACTAAATACACTCCTTATAACACGTGTTACTTCACTAGACTTAATACAATCCTTATAACACGTGATACTTCATTAGACTAAATACAATCCTTATAACACGTGTTACTTATTAGACTAAATACAATCCTTATAACGCGTGTTACTTCACTAGACTAAATACAATCCTTATAACACGCGTTACTTCACTAGACTAAATACAATCCTTATAACACGCGTTACTTCACTAGACTAAATACAATCCTTATAACGCGTGTTACTTCATTAGACTAAATACAATCCTTATAACACGTGTTACTTTATTAGACTAAATACAATCCTTATAACGCGTGTTACTTCATTAGACTAAATACAATCCTTATAACACGTGTTACTTCACTAGACTAAATACAATCCTTATTACACATTGTTACTTTTCTGTAGACTAAATGCAATCCTTATGACACATTGTTACTTTTCTGTAGACTATACACAATCCTTATAACACGTTGTTACTTTTCTGTAGACGAAATACAATCCTTGTTACACGTTGTTACTTTTCTGTAGACGAAATACAATCCTTATAACACGTTGTTTCTTTTCTGTAGACTATATACAATCATTATAACACATTGTTACTTTTCTGTAGACTATATACAATCCTTATAACACGTTGTTACTTTATGTAGACTATATACAATCCTTATAACACGTTGTAACTTTTATGTAGACTATATACAATCCTTATAACACGTTGTTTCTTTTATGTAGACTATATACAATCCTTATAACACGTTGCTTCTTTTCTGTAGACTATATACAATCCTTATAACACATTGTTACTTTTCTGTAGACGAAATACAATCCTTGTTACACGTTGTTACTTTTCTGTAGACTATATACAATCCTTCTTACACATGTTACTTCACTAAACTAAACACCATTGCTCGAACACATTGCTTATTCTTTGTAGAGCCCCATAGCAGGGAACTGTATATAACACCGTTGCTATAACGCAGTGTTACGTTACTGTAGAACAAACAAAATCTCTACAACAAAATGTTACTCTACTGTATACTAATACATTATATCTTTGACACGTAGATAATTATAAATCCCTAACACATTGAAACTTTTCTGTAAACTAAACACAATCCTTGTATTCCAGTGTTACTTCGCTGTTGACAAAAAAAAACGTAATCCCTCAATAAGCTAGTTACAGTAAAATTACCAAACGAGCCTTTAGAGGGATATAATAATGGGTTCACGTGTTCCCTGTATAGCTTAAAATGGCCGTAATTTGCTGGAGGGAGGCGTGGGAACAGTTACCTCCCAAATATCTTTCAACCTTCCGGCGTGTTTTTCCGGCCTTGTCATGCTTAAAATTCAAAGTTCCTTTGCCCCAACCAACCCCCATCCCCCTCCCCCAGCCCGCCCGGTTGTCAACCCTGGGGCCCAATCATGGTATGCCCCTGTCCCCTAAATCAGTTGGGTCAACCCTACAGACACAACTTCTAACCTTACCATGGAATCTAAATACCGCTCCGTTGCGTGACTAATGTTATTGGAAGCCAAAGAGTTTGCTCTCTTGCAATATTTAACCTGTTTCCATGGCAACGAGGCCTTAGAAACAATCTTACTAGCATATCATCTTCACATGTAAAACGAAAATCGAAACTTAACAGAGCACATCACGTATTAACACTTACCTGTACGTAAAAATAGCAATGTACTAAACATAGATAGGGCAACAGGTGCAAAAACACCTGCAAAGGTAGATAATGTTCGTCTTGGATCATCGGTACCTTCATCGTCCGCGGCATCGTCAAAGCCACAACACGGTAGGAATCTCAGCACACGCGATACAATCCTGTTACCCCCGACAAGTCTCACCCTCTCGTACCATCGCCCCTCCCCCGGGGATTCGTCCACCCCGTGTCCCAGGGTTTTGTACCCATCGTGCCTATGAGACTTTAACGGCGATGAGGTTCGTTTATCTCCATCGTGATAAGCCTCTGCCATTTCAAATCAAATAGCCGGTATATATATACACGCACATCCACAGAGGCTGAGGGTTGTCAAAATTACATATTTCGAAAGTTGTTAGGTAGCCAAACACACCATTTGGTATTTAAAATATTCCGCCAATGATAGCTGTGTTATTTCACATGAATAATAGCTATGTGTCACATGATTTGTTTGTAAAGAGAACTCGAGACACAGGCTCCCATATAGACTCTCGTGGACCATCACATGAGCCAATACATGTACAAATGGCTGTGGAGCGCTCTCCTTAGTGTGGCTGATACAGATTTATCGGTACATGACTAAAAACGCCCTGCCGGTGTTGTTTCCAATCGATTTTACACAATCTATCCCACAATTCACGATAAACATGTTGGTATTCATTATGTTGACTATATGGAATATTTATCATTTGCTTACTGAATTAACCAGCCTGATTTAATCGATAAAACTCCTTAATTGAAAGCATACATTTACTAGTATTAGCTTTTCCCCCAAACACGTGAAGCCATGTCTATAAATAACGGATGTGATGGGGTGAGTTTGGCGAAAGCATTCCAGTATTAGGAGCGTCTACTCAAATCTAATATTGTTATCTATTTATCTGGTCCACGAGATTAGATTATATCAGCATTATACAACACTTCCTCAAATATCCTTTTACACACAGGGGTTTGTATATGTTAAATATAGCTGAGGCTATTCGCTATAGTAAATGTTAAGTCCCATTCATTCAATACACTATACGTACTGAGGTCTAGACGTGAATAAATATCCGAGTGTTTTTATATAATTCTAAATCCAATACATCTATTTGCTTTGGTTTGGTTTGATTTAATTTTGTTAACAGCTAAGGTCATTCAAGGACGTGCATGTCTCCATGTGTGTAGTGTATGCGTGGTTGCGTGTGTGTATGCAGGAGACAGAGTATGTTGGTGTGCTTGCCTCCTTGTGATAGCGCGGATCTGATGCCAACTTTATAGTGCTATCTTACTGAAATACCATGCCGAAGGCACCCAGCACAGCATTCCACCCGGTCACATTATACTGACAACGGGTGAACCAGTTATTGCCATTCCTCTAAAAACTATCATTTTTAAGGACATTGGTATGTCCCGGCCTGGGGACAGAACCCATTTCCTTCCTCAACTGAACGAACGCTCAACATTCTAGCCAAAAGTGAGGCGATGCCAAGCAAAGCGCTAGGATATAAAAGGTTATTAGAAGTAGAAAGAAATATAAAGATCCCAAATATTGCAATGGGTGCAGCAGATTTATTATGGTCGCGTTTGTGTCCCCAAATAGAGGACACCAAAGCAAATCCCCAATTCTGCAGTGGGTTACACACATTAGTCGCCTCCTACGTTACATGCAGTGGGTAACAGCAGGTGTATTCTTTTCCTAATCCCCCACCTGCAGGGATGCATCTATTTGCAATTAAGCTGTACCTGGACCATAATATTTCAAAGGTTGTATACAATTAACGTGAATCGATAAAAGATGATTATGTTTACCTGTATTGTAATTACATAGGTAGCACGTTACCTTTCAGATCATGGGGCTATATATATATAAGCATTACCATACGAAATTTCGTTCATGGAACTATGAACGCAATTTGATCAGCGTCATTTCTAAGCTTCTCCTCTCACCTCGATTAACATGAGAAAACTGTTAGAATCAAACATTTTGGTGACGTTATGTCGTTCCTAGAATTGCGTTTGCACTGACAACAAAGGCACCTTAATATCGAAAATATAAGGGAATATCTGTAGTATGGTCAATACATCTGATAATGAATTATTTAGAATGTAAATAGAACCAATGAATGGCTATTTTGATGTTCATGTCGTTATGAATTTAAACCACACGCCGTTCAATCCATATGTATAAAATAGTAAAAATTACAAAAAAAAATACACTACCTTAATTTAGCTAGGAAAGACTTCTGTTACTACCAACACTGCTTAAGTTTAAGTTTTCTTTCGTATTCGAAAAAAATGCAATAATTTCCTAAGCTTTTATTTTCCAAGTAGTGAAATACTTGGTAACAATTTTTATTCAAAGGACTGGTTGTGAAACCGAATGTAACCGGCATCAAAGGAGTGTGGAATGTGTGGTCGTTTTTAACATTGTGCCGTTGATTTTCAGCCCGTATGTGATCTCTGATACCTTCATTGTAGCCTGTTTGACATTTGCGATCTAAAATACATTATATGCTATCTGTATGCGAGAAAAATATTCATGTATGCTTTTATTGTTAGTTCAGGATAATGTACAATTTAATTGAAATATGAACTTATCAAATGCATACAAAATTAAATTTGATCATTTTGATATGCCTGAGATATATGAAAAATTGACGGTACTTTCTGTAAACAGGAAAAAAATATGTTTCCCGATTGGATTGTCCTTCAATGGCCATAGCTTTTAATAGGACATAAACAAACAAGCAAACCAAACCAATTCCTCAGATAATACATGCCAATGACGTGAGAATCATATGCATAAACAGTAAAACCTGCTTAATCTGACCCATGAGTATTCCGTCATCCTGTCTAATTAAACATTATGTCATGATTGTTATTTAATTTCTAAATGCACAAAATCAGACTTTTGTGTTCTGACATCCTGCGTAATCTGGCATATATACATGTGTGTTGTGTTCCGCGAGATTTCGGATTAGACAGGTTTTACCGGATACAGTTGACGTTGAGATTTGTGCCAAACGAGTCAGGTGGATTGGGATACCAGCATTTTCGGATCTGACTATCGACAAACAAATGACGCATCGATTTATGTGGTGCCGTGTCGGCTCTCGGTTGAGACAATGTGTCACACTCTCAGTAATCACCGTAATTAAGGCTTAAAACAGAATTACACGGGTCTGGTGATTTTCTGCTGAATAATCACTTTTAACGGTGTGTTACTCAAATGAAAATTAGAATTTAAAAAATAAAACCCTTGAACAAATTTGAAATAAGACTAAATCATTCTCTGTCGGCACCTCCCTTTGCCTCCAATCTACTTGAACGTAACATTGGTTTTGAGCGCAGCTGCAGATTACACAATGCCTGGTGCACGTATAGATATAAATCTAATAATAATATTGTACCACAAATGACTTGAAGCTTGAACTTTTACTCTGGTGAGCAATTAGTTTATACACTGCACAAGGAAGTTTCAATTTGTAAGGACTTAAATATCAATTTCTGCTAACTGCCTATATTTTTTAATATAACAGATGCGAATTTCTTTAAATACTACGATTTTTAAGAAACCTCATTGGTATTTGCTGCGTTACGAAATCCAATCCCGAGGGCTAGATTCGAAAGCAAACCAACGACACAAGGTTTCATTGTGAAGTGTACAGTTGTGAGTTTCTCCTTTCAAAGTAAAGGTTCTCATGTTTAACATTGTCTAGACGTACACCGTCAAACATGTTTTATTTTATAAACGTATAATTCGAAATTTTCTATTCTCTTGTTTCACAAAGATTTTTTTTGGTGTGTTTATGTTTTACGTCATATTTTAAAACAGCTATGATCATTTAAGGACGTGTCAGGTTTTCGTGGTGGAGGAAAGTCGGTCTACCAAGTGAAAAACCACCGACTTGCGTCCAGTACCTGGCGACTGCCCAGCGTAGGTCTCGAACCCGCGACCCAGTGGTGGAGGGCAGCTGGATCGTAGAATGTCAGACGCATGTTAGGCCACCGCGGTCACTGTTTCAAAAGTCGTTAGATATCCTATTTTGCTTTCTCAGAGACATTAAACTAAAGCACAAGCTAGTAGTAGTCTTGCTCATATCCGAACGATTGTTCAAATGTAGGGGACGAGCTTATTATAGATCAGTCATCAGTGAGTCTAATGATGTGACTGAAACAGGGGCATAATTGTTTTCGAAAATTACACAATAAATTTACAACAAATGTGGAGAAACTGGTCAATCAACAATATCCAGCTTGCGTGCATTTCTGTGGTGTTATATTGGACCATGTTCAGCGTCTACAAGTTCTATGTCATTTTAGACTTGGGTATTTTTCGGAAGGAAACATCCACGAAAAGAAAAGATGCATGAGGCGAGAAAGAATAGCAATACAAAAAAGGAACATGTCTATTTTGATTTCTCTTGCGTAACCTAGCGAATAAAACAGAGGGGAACAATCGATTCTGAATGAAATCACGTTAGTTGCCTAATACAATGCTGCACGTGGGATTAGTTGGTTGATTTATTGGGTTTAGCGTCTTTATAACAGCTAGGGTCATTCAAGACATGCATCTGCTTGTGTAGCATATGTGTGTATGCTAAAAGTGGTACATTGGTGATTTTTTCTCATAGCGATAGCGTCTGACCGTCTACGATAACTAGCTCTCCTCCACGGGATCCTGGTTTCGAAGCATGTGTGGGGCAGTCACCATATATAGTCGCAGGTCGGTGGTTTTACCTTCGGGTACTCCGGTTTTCCTCCACCACGAAAACTTGGCACGTCCTTAAATGACCATAGCTGTTTATAGAACGTAAAACATAAACAAACAAAAACAGACCTTGCGATAGTCCGCATCTGATGCCAATTTTTCGAGTGTGATGTGTAAATGCGTATATACTGGATGCGGTAGGCCCAAGGAGAATTTTTGCAAGACGTGTATAAACTCCATATTGACACGGAACTTTTATGCAAATCACGGATATAATTATATTCATTTTAAGCAACACATTAAATGTTCCTGGGTTTGAAATGTGACTAACGAGGTGTTATAGCTTTGGTAACGGAAACGTTCTAGCTCGCCAATTGAAGAGATTCTACAAGCATCAGCGATCAGAGTAGGGTAGCTCTGCTCGCGACCTTATCAACTTTACATCCTTATCAATGCATTTGCAGTCACCATATTGGCATTGAATCTATGGCGGAACATTTCAGACAGATCGATAAAGCGGCAGACTGGCCATTTCTGGATAATCAGGTTCGACAGGGGTCGGTCTGCTATCATCAAATGTCAGGTAAAACTGCCCTACAACGCTTCCGTTCCGTCCCTGTAATGGGGGAACCGATCGAACTGGAAAACTGATTGGCCAGCAACGCCATGGAACTACTAATAATATGGTACAACTGTTTCTCGGATATACAGACGTTCAGGAAGACAACAAAATGTATGGAGCTGATTTTAAAGTATTCGTGATCCGGATTTTATTTCCGGGAAATTAAGTGCCGGGAATCCCCCACTCCACCCAAGGATTACCTAGAAAACATTGTAGTGTAAATTTGTCGTTCTCTAAATGTCGGGAACTGCGTTCTTTTATGTTCTCTGCATTTCGATTTCGTCATGATATATTCCAGGGATGCAGAGAACGGAACGTAAATGGGCATGTCCTCTGGAGTTTTGAGTAGATTTATATGTGCAAACAGTGTACAAAGTGCCATAGTACCAAGTATATATCTATTTAACTATATTTTATCGTCATAAACTAGCTGGAAGTACCATTGTGACTTCAACTCATTGTCCAATCTATATATTCTGGATATTGTATAGCATTGTCCCTATATGGCCGTTGACATATATTATCAAAAATAATCGGCCAGACAAAGGGCCACGGTCACCACAACTAATCTAAACAACCAACAAAATCGATTTCATCTAACGCTTCTACTCAGACAGTATATTATCGGGTTGTAATCCCGGGATCAGACGACAAAACCATTTCTACCGGTTTTATTATTAATAAACATATCAAACACTGATCGGACCTGGATGTCATATATTTTACCTCTCTTTTCCAGACTGTATGACGTAGTGTTTTTTCTCATAGTGTTGTTATCTTTATGAATGTAGATCTAGATTTCAAACATATGTTTGGGTACCCATTCATCCTTCTTCATGGAAAGAAAGTTTATATTTTTACGGTCCGTATTCCTAAGCACAAATTGTCAGTCCCTATGTTAAACTCCAAATCCTATTCGGCTAACCTCGGCCGATTCCGGTACCCTTCATCAATACGTTTGATGTAGGTGCGGAATCTGCCGAGTTGTGACGAGTGCTCCAAATCCTAGTTCAAGTGAAAATGTGCTCTAAAAATATTTTCATCACTAGTCAAAGCTATCGCCAGTCATAACTTTTAGTAGGCGTATCTAAGTACCATACATGTCGAAGATTACTGTGAGTTTCAAGAAAGTTCATTTGAAACATGAATTTCGAGGGTTAAAAAACGTGGCACACTCGGCTGATTCCGGTACCCTTCACCAATACGGATCTGCCGAGTTGGGTGGTGACTTTCAGTCAATCGGGAACCGTCGGCACTTTCCGTAAACAAGAAAATACTCGTTTACAGGAAGTGCCGAGGGATCCCGATTGCCTCTGAGGTTAATTAAAAAGCTTGGACCACAGGGGCACGGTACCAATGTCTGAAATACATACATATGCTATACTGATATGGGTCACAACACATACTAGTATAGCATATGTGCGTATTTCAGACATTTGTAACGTGCCCCTGTGCTTGGACCAACTGGACACCTGAGTATCATCTACACGTACAACGGTGCGTCTCTTCCATATGTGTAATTAATAATTTACAAACCAAGTCTAAATAGCAATTTATTGACGATAATTTACTGGTTCCTGATGTTGGAACTCTTTTGGATTGGTCACACATTAATTCAGTAGGGAAACGCATTCTAATTCACAACCGCCTGTGGTAGCAAAGGCATTCTGCTACTACAATAATGTACATTGCAGCATACCGCCTTATTTATCATGCATAGGGGCTTGATACCTTGTCCGATGTTTCGCATCTTTTCTCAGTACCTGTAAAATCATAGACTGATAAATTCTCATTTTCAACAGAAACACAAAACGGAATACTGACAATTAAAACAACATCGTCCTATCCTGTCTGTGTTTGATTTTCCTTTAAAAGTAATCAATAAAGGATCGTGAATCAGAAAAAAACTGTGGCTGAGTCACAGTGTGACATCATAAAACTGCAGGAAGTATGCTGATCGTGTGGCGATAGTACAGACATCTCTGCTTCCGATGACCTATTAACGTTGTACACATCATTAATAGAAAGCGTTCACGTGCCTGCTATATCTCCGGCGGGAATACCTAGACCTTTTACCTTCGGGGAAAACATTCGCAAAAATCAATAATACCTGAGTTTAATATGTATTAAACAATTGTAATCAAACGTTTACAGTGATCATTTAAAAGGTCGATCAGCTGGACTGTATTCTGAAATGAAAAGATTTCAAAGGGCCTGTATCGCTAACTTGGATATCTTTAAATTAAAATAACCATTGCAAAATATTCACATTAAAAGTAATATTGCAAAAAAAGAACCCCTGTGGAGCCAGGGGATGCAACTCTTCCTTTACAGCATCATTTCCTGATTTCCTGACTCCCGTGACCTTAGTGATGTGTGATGAATAATTATATGAAATAGATTTCAAAAATGTTTAAATATCATGGATCGTTCCCTTACAAAATGTTCAGTGTGTACATTAAAACTGGTCTGATGATTTTTTAGATTATGAACAACTTTCTCAAACCCTGTATACCTAGTTTTAGCCAGAGTACACCAGACATACATCTGTCAAAGTGATGGCTATAGTTGATCTTAAATGAACAAATAGGGTCTCTATTTTATATACTTTAGACAATGCAATATCACATTGAAATACATTAACTATGAAACAACACCAATGCAAATTTTGTGAAAAATTTCGGAAAACGCTAATTTTAGTTGTCCATCTTTTGTATTCTTTCCAAGATGGTCACACCATGCCCAAGCATTAGTGATTTTGCTCGAAATAACCCGTCTTCAATGAGTAGTCTAGCATTGTAGGAGGGGTTGTGTAGGCTATAAAGCGTTATGAATATATCTTTCAATTCTTGACGTTCCGTTTCTACTCCTCATTCAGTTCGTACAGCTTTCAATTCATAGTAGCACAATGAAGATGACTCCCTCATATTCAAATACAGGATACTACCTAACACTGCAGACAGATATATAAGATAGCTGGAGTTTCCTCTGGCCCTGACACCAGACTTAAACATCTTGACGGATAGATGTCTGGGGCCCACACCAAAAATGTCAAAATGTTTAAGTCTGGTGTCAAGGCCAGAGGAAACACAGGCTAATCTATAAGAGCATATCTTGAAGAAAATGGCATATTGCTTTTTCTAATTGATGTATCATGTTTTACAAGTGAAATGCTGTCATTTCTTTTCAAACTTTAGCTAATAATTGTATTGGTAGCATCAATCGTTTCCCACATTCCTGTTAATGTCTAATAAAGAAATATCCAGGGGAGGGAACTCAGTAGATAAAGACATTGATATAACTGGTTTTTTTTAAATGATATGTACCACTCAAAGCAACAAATGTTCTATCATCTTATTGAGTTTTATTTAGAATGAATAAGCGCATTTTCTTTTAGAAAAATATATCATAAAATACATTTTTTTCAGCCAAACAACTGGATGGATGTCCGCTGATAAACAAATGTGTCAATAAGAGTTACTTCCCTTATTTCGGACCAAAAAGAAATGATAATTTCAAACTCAAATTACGATTAACAATCTTCTTCCTTTATTATCAATTAATAAAACATGTTTCGGGGTGAAACCAAGTATATATAACATAGACGAACTTTATACCAGAACAAAATTTCAATCAACTACTTACAAATAAGGATAAACCGACTGTCACTACATATATATATATATGTTATATATATACACAACTGTTTTCAACACAATACTGTGATCCCCTTAAACTCACAAATATTTGTTTTCAGCTGATGTTGATTTTGCTTCCTAGAAACCAGATAACCAAACTAATATCAGAATAACAAATTCTTGAGGTCTAATGCACACTTTTCCTTGAGATGAAATGGAAAATATATGAACGAAATTGGGAACAAAAATATCTTTTTATCAAATTATTCAGTTTTTGTTTTTTTTGGAAATTCGCCAATACTTTGCTGTAACCAAAACATTAACAATACCTCATGAATATAATAAATTTTGAAACATGTTTCGATATCTTTCTCTACAAAATCCACCTACAACTATTATTTACTGATAAAATATCATTGCATTTAATTCAACTCCATATTTTAGAAAATGAATTTACCCACACTATACAAGCTCCGCAATCATTTTGTGTACAATATTTATTCCTGATTTCGGTGTACAATTTCAAACTTCACAGCCTTACTGTTAATGAAAATATCCATTACAGCTCTATGACATTTGTATGGAGACTTTCAAGGATCATACAATGTTAAAATAGTTCCTTTATATTGACAAAACATAAAAGAATTAACCCCTATTTATGAAACCAGTGGTGTTTGAAATATAACAGAAGTAAAATCAACGATATATTTTGTATTGAACATAAATATATTTGAAAGACATTTACAATTGTTAGAACATTCACAACAATGAGTTTTAAACAGAATTAAGTGTACTGTAATTGACACAGCAAAGCCTGCGTAACTTCACCACATCTCAGCATGGGGAAAGCATATACTGGTATTGTGCCAGTGTTATTAAGAATAAAACTTCTTTTCTTTTTTTCTTTTTTGAATTTCATATTCATTTATTCCCAGATCTACAGTATTTTGCGTGGGTACCAAAATTGTTTGAACCTCCCAATATTCCAATCACATTCTGACAAAGAGTCTGAATAATATTAAGAAACAAATATATTTTTATTTCTGTACACATAAATTTCACAAACAAATGGGCGAAAACAACATAAAAATGGGTATAACATGAAATAAAACAATAATTACAGCATTAAACGTATATACTATTCCCCTAGCCTTGATACCTAGGTCAATATCCCCAACCAGGTAGCAATAACTAACCTTTGACCTTTTTCGTCAACATTTACTCAACACTGTTTCACGTACTTAGTCATGCATGACGTTAGACATGGCAATCAAACATCTTCATCAATCCTTAAAGATAGTTTTCCTGAATAAAAAGAAATGTGCTAGAACTTCTTAGTCTTTGGTCAGAAATTTGATATGTACTTGTAGAAACTGCTCAAATTGTTCATACCCCTCACATATTTTCTTCTAAATGCAAATCAAAGCTGAAAAACAGCGAAACGATTTGGTAGATATTTTGTTCTCTTATGATGAACATTAATGCTAAGAGTAGATTATCAAGGTGTTCAAATTTTACCGGGCTTTGATTGTTAAAATTGGCAAACCATACCAGATTAAAATAAAACACTGCGAAGAAAAATATGAACATAAAACTATGGCTTTTACAAGTAAAATCTGACCCTGTCCGGCAGAGAAATAAAGTCTAAAATCGCATTCTTACACTCTCTTAAAAAACTGTACATATCATTGCCTGTATTTTGAGTACAAGAATGTGTACATATGTACATGCAAAATTAAGATCATCAATTTGTTTGTAAAAAGCAGTGAAACGTTCCCCAGCTGTGGTCTTGGTTAAGTGTAGAATGTGATGGAATCACCGACCAAACACACTCTAGTCACTGTAAGTAATGCGAGTCTCATTGGCCATATACACTCTCATCACTGTAGGCAATGTACAGGAAAAAGTCCTCCTCGTGGTGCTCCTGGAACAGACAAATGTATAACATGTACTACTAAATAGGACTCATTTTTAACGAATCTCGTTTAAATATACACAAATTAGGCTTGATAATATATTTTTACGCATAATGGAGACAATGACTCCATTTCCAAGAAATATTTTCTCACTAATAGAAATACATATGTATATACATTGGCCATTTTAAAATTCGAGTTTTTCCATTTTTCCAGTAGCATAGGTCATATGACACTTCGATACACTGAAACGTCACAACCTGCATGTTGTATGTAGTATGCTGGTACATCTGAACTAGTCACATTTATTACTATGACAACAGAACAGGTGAATAACTTAATAGCAAAGTTTAAGAAGACTTTTTTTCCATTATCAGCTTACAACAATCAACTTAATCTACATATTCAGATTGACGAACACAGCAACATGTTGATGTCTAGTGGTCTAATCAAAACACAGGACTTCTCAAAATATCAGTACCGTTACGGTCATAACATTCGAGAACATTTTAATATCAGGGGTCGACACTAACACTAGTCCTGGACTAGTAGATTTCAGCAAGGACTAGTGAATCACCTAACCTAACTGGTCCTTTGGACTTGTGAAAATATGATAATAGAATAAGAAAATTTAGAAAAAGTGCTTTTTATAAGATACATTGCATGATATTTGTCAAAATTTTCCTAAAAATTCACCATATTTTTATGGCAGCAGATATCTTAAGTCCCCTACAGACGATTACTTTTGATTATTCATGCTGTAGATGGCGATATTTCCTTATCATGAAATCTTGGACTAGTTAAATTGACAAAGGACTAGTAAATAATCTGTTCCGCTAGTCCTGTGGACTACCAAACAAAAAAAGTTAGTGTCTAATCCTTATAATATGGGTTTATATTTAAAGCAATTACCATGGTCTATTAAAATTGCTGAAAACTATAGTGTGATCACTATTACTGTGAATTTTAATAGACTATTGAGGAGTTGACCAGGGTCTGTATTCATGAAACCGTTCTCATGCTCAAGTATGGAATTTGTGCTCAAGCCGAATTTCTTGTTCCCGTTACAAATTCATTAAAATTTGTTTGTTTTTCAATGATTTGGAAAAACATTGGAGATGAAAAACTGTTTTCAATGGTTACATTTGACGTTTTGGTAGTTTGAAAAAATATAAGTGAGTTACAAGAAAGTTGGTTTGAGCATAGAATCCATGCTTGAGCACGAGAATGGTTTCATGAATACGGGTCCTGATACCGTGATTTTTTAGGAGTGAATTTTGGGCCTTACTCCCCTAGATAATTTCACAGTGAAGCAGAGGTAAAACCACTCAATCAATCAATCTGATAATTTCTGCTATCTTTTCCAAAAAATCAGTGCAAATATCACTATATTTTCCCAAAATTAAGCTTTTTGCATGTGTCATTTTCCAAAAGTCACAAGGCACAAGCCCCTGTACATGTTCATTTAGAAAGGTGATAAAAAAATCACAGCAATAGTCATACCATGGGGACTGAGCCTTCCTGAGACTGACCACTGTATTTGGGGCTATAGTAATGTGTATCAGGTACAATGAAGCATGTGCCTTCCTAATGAGTAATGACACTGTATTTTGGGCTATACTATCAGATACAATGAAGCCTTCCTAATGAGTAATTATATAATGACACTGTGTTTTGGACTGTATAATTACCTGGTACAATGATCCCATTGTTGCACTTGTTGGGGGAATCACATTGTTTACAAAGAAGAAAAGGGCGTCTTCTGGCCTCAGGTGTATCCTCTTTCTAATGAGGAAATAAAACTGTCCAACAGTCAAATCTGAGGGTACCAGATATTTCTTTTTGTCTAAATCACCAACTCTTGCCTTTGGGGCTTTCTCAACAATGACCTGAAAGATAAAATTAATATTGGAATCAATAACAAACCCATCATTCACATTGAGTACAAAGCATAATAAAAGTCATTGGATAATTACTATTACTAACTTCTGAAAACGTCACCCTTTGGAAATTCAAACAAAGACAGGGACATTATTCTCAAAACCAAAGCCTACGTTAGCATACCTGTTTTAAGTTCCTTTACTTTGCACACCTGTATGATTTTTATCAACAAGAATAATGCATGCACATAGGCAATCAATTTTGAAATCTGTTTTCTTGTTGCGTATACAAAGTTGTATACATGAAGTGTCATAAATACTTTCAAGATTCGATGACATTTTGCTAAGGATAGACCAAAGGACCACAGTTAACTTTTTATATTAAAACTGATGCAAATATTATGTGAATACAAATCTTCAATTCAAGACATTTTTTTAAAATAAATAAACACCAATCAACTTGATATTTTGAAGATTAAACGATCTAATTTTATGTGATAATTAACTATAAACCTTGAAGAGAATAATTAATATAAGGGAGTGACTTAAGACTGTCAACATTACAAAACGAAGCTAAAGATATGAGAACAATTGATGGCTGATTGTTAGCCATACGCGCGGGACACCACTCGAATGACGCCCATGTAAACAAACAGCTGTCAAGAAGCCAAGACCCATTGTTGTTAACTGTCAAAAACATTTCATTGACTAGGATTAACATGAACGTCTACTTTAATAAACAAAGCATTTTTTTGTGTATGCCAAAATAATAATAACCCACAAAAGTTGTGTGACCCCAAATCATGAAATACAATCGTATGATTGATTCATGTCTCGTCTAAAATAAATGCGCATATGATGATGTGGTGAATGGTGCAAGCAAAATCAACGCCCAAATAAGAGCAGATGAAACAAAAATCCAAACAAGTTACGTATAATTGTAATTAGCCTATTTTTTTAAATGATGACGATGCACTTTAAATAACTTTTGATTCGTCTTATAGGAATGTACTTTCAGTTTGAGAACACAATGAGAATTTCTTTGAAAAATCGAGCTAGGCCTATTTCACAATGTCATCGCATATTTTTTGAGAAAATCACACATACAGGGACTCGATCGGGATACTTCTTCCTGATTTTCTCTCCCTCAGCCCTTCTTTTCTCAAACGGATGTTCTTCTTTGTATTCCCACTTCATTTTCTGGCAATTATGTTAGTTATAAACACAAATCTTGTTTCTGCTCACAGCTAACAACAAATATGGCTGACTGCTGTACCGATGTAAACAAATAATTACATCCGAGCTTGAAAATAGTTCACTATGTTATTTTGTTATTTCTCCATCCAAATTTCCTTAACAAACTTTTAGAGGCTATGGTAGCTAACACACTTTATAAATGTACAACTTTATCAGCAAATATACCGAACAGTTATGACTTGTATGAAAATCGGTACACGTCGCGCAGTAATACAATAAAGTCACAAGACCTTACGTCACACTGGAACTTATTCATGTCTATTTTTAAACGATACAAGGGACGCTACCGAGTCTATCTATGTCTAGGATTGGCATTATTTTCTATAGTCAACAAATATTTGCTTGAATATTCTCTCGGACTCCTGCACATGACTTGCAAAAACGCGATTTGTAGTCATATAGGATTATTTTGTTCAATCCGTTTAAAAAGTATGTAACTTGTGTTAGACAGGGCCTTGCCTGAAGGGGTCAAGCAGAGACGTATATATGTCTCTGGGTCAAGTTGTTAAAGCCAAGTTAGCTTAATTACAACTTAACGCAAAATTTTAAACCGGTATATTTTCAACAAAAAAAAGAATTGTGAAATTCTTAAATAAAATAACATCTTTATTTATAAGCATTAAAAGGTTATTCATCAACAATAAACATAAAAAAGTTTCAAAATTTTAACAGAATTCTTAAATCTTTGAAAAGCTTAGTTCAGAATTTTTATTATAGCTATTACGTTGTTGGCCGGGATAGAGGAGACCGGATATTACTATTATAAGTACTAAGTACAGAACAGTACTTACAAGATACAAGATATAAGAATATTTATTTTCCGTTGTTTTTGCAAAACATACAACATAAGCTACAGTACTTGTCTTGCTCAGTTCAGATTTTTAGGAGAATAGTCAATGGATTCATAAACCTAGGATCTAAAGTGTAGAAATGTTAAAAAATATCACCGTAAATGGAAAAAAAAAGTCTTCATACTAAAACAAAGTAATAATTTTGAATAAGGATTATTGGTCTTGGCTAAATTAAATATACGGTGACAAATCTGGTAACGCCTGGTATCATTTTAAAAAGCACTCTTTTTTTTTTTCTTCAGACCTTACTTATTTTTTCTTACAAAGTACAACGGTGAAGGTTCTAAGTTCGATTCCTGCTGGGTTTTTTTTTTGCTTTCTTTTTTATTTCTTTATTTTTTCAAACACACAATTTCGAACAACTATAATTCTGCAAGATGGATAGCAACACGTGATTTTATAGAACACTTCTTTTCAAAAGGGCTTAAACAAATAGTTCGCGATAGCGACAATGATTGTAATTTAACTAGCTACCATATACTGTAGATGTAACAACTACATCATTGATATAAGAAAGGTATTGTCACCAAGACGTGCAGGAGTAAACAAAGTTAAAATTTAGTAGGCCCAAATGTCGATGGTCAGCTGTACATAGCCTGATATGAGTCGGCTGTCAAACATATTAAAATACTTTAAACTGCATGTGTCAAATAATTTACAATTTGTCGTTTTCTGTTAAATGAATCCGTTATCCATGTTTGATCAAAATCAATCGATATCAAAATAATATTGTGATATAAAGCTGTTTCATTTAGCAACATTACTAAACGATAATTGTCTACATTGTATTTTGTTCTTTCAAAACACATATCAAGAAGTGAAAGTATCTAACGTTTGGTTTTAGACAACCAATAAAAAAAAACATTACAAGGAATGCAATCTCTCTTGTGGACAAGGTGGAGAGGCANCCCCCCCCCCCCCCCCCCCCCCCCCTTCTAATCCAAAGCGTCATCGATCATTATTTTCAAGAGAAATTGTTTGAGAATCTTTATATTTATCAGTTATCATCCTCTAAGGTCATTTTAGCACACCTAATGAAATACACTGTATTGCCTTTTGATATCACATCTTTAAACACACAAAAGAAAGTTATGGTACATCTGAGATGATATTGAAATCAAATATTGAAATAGCCCTCCCGATAAATCTATACTAGATTCTTTCAATATTTTGTTCGTTAACCTTTAAATCTTAATAAAAAGAAAGCTAAAGGAAACCTCGTGTTGTAAGTTTGTCTGTCTGCAGTCAACATCTACAAATTCGTCTAAACCTCTCTCTTCTGTGAGAATCATAGGTTTGATCAAAGTATAACGTTATACACAAAAAAAATACGTACTATCAAACGTGCCACAACGTTTCCGTCCTCGATATCCAGGGGTCACGATCACTTTCGCTCTCTACACCCTTGGAATATGCCATAGCAAAATTGAAGGCTCAGTGTGCATCGCCTTGTGGATGAGACGTGAAGATTAGTTTGTTCCTTTGATGTACATCAAAAGAATCTCGCGGTCGCGCAACGGTAACAAATGGCAGATTTTAAAGTCGGGCGTCGCTCCTTTGTAATCTTCAAAGGACAAGTATCAGCCTAGTGATTGGTCAGGTGTTTTTTACCTGACACCAATCAAATAGCTAGCCGCGTGCCTTCAATTTTGTTATGACATATATTCCAGGGGGTATAGAGAGCGAAAGTGAGCGTGATCCCTGGATATGGAGGATGCAACGTTTCAAGACCTTGAAAAGGACCAGTCGGTCTTGAGAGTTTGTGACACGTTTCATGTGTACATTGTTTGTGGCACGATAAAGTAAAACTTCGATATAGTCTCAACTACTGTTAAACCAGAAGGGAATGGGCGTAAAACTCCTTAATTTTACGAAACATTCGTCAGGACTGACTAACGATTCAATATATTATTGTCTGTGATTACGTCAAATTTCGTGTTAGCAATCGCGATTGGTTTGGCTTGGTTTAGTATTGTTTAAAGTCCTATCAACAGCATTTAAGGACGGCCTCCCTTGTGTGCAAGATGCATGCGTGAAGTGTATGCGTGTGTGTTTTGGTAGGCTGCGATATGTTCGTATTTGTCTCCCTGTGATAGCGCGGAACTGATGCCGACTTACAGGAAAAACTGTCCAATATGTTGTCTGCATGAAAAGTTAAGATTAGGATTTAACAATCTATCAATTTTCTTAACCCTTATGACATCATAAATATGTCTGTTGTTGAAAGATTCCTAGAAAGAATTGCCGACACACAGTTACCAAACAAACTTTTGAGGTAATTGATGCGTACCGAAAAAATATGTTCTCCATGTCCCAGTAAACTGTCAGATTATATATTTTGCAATATAGAAAGTGCATAAAACCTGTAACTGCATTTTCGTCCCTGGAATCAAATACATCTATCCACAGAGTGAGCAACTTTCCATTCATCTGTCAATTTTGTTCACTATATAACCAACATTCGAATTTGAATGTAATGACAAAACCAATAGTACAGACAATCTTTTACAAAGACATTGCTGTACTCTGTAAAATATCGAAAATAAACATAAAATTATTGAATATTGCAACGTTTGACACGGGGGGAGAGGGGGTGGAGGGGGGGGGATGAAACAGAAACTGTGGAGACTGACCATCACAACTAATGATATACTCTACACTAGAGAGTCTCAGTTAGTTAGTGTGACAGTCATACGAGGAAGGATGTCAGGGGAGACACAGCCGGAAGGAGAACAAATAGATATAAAGTGGACATGAAATACAGGGAAAATATTCAGGAGGGGGCTCAATTGGGGCAGCAGATCAATTTTGGTCAACCCCCAACAATTGTGCAGGGGCCTCTCAATTAGTCTCCTTTTACAATGCACATGCGGTGTGTGTGTGGGGGGGGGGGGGGGGGGGGGG